TATAGGGTCAGTCTATTAGACTAATCCCAAGCACTTTTAATTAATGTTTAGTTTGATGTTTATCGAGGTATCATAATGGTGGATAATTATCAAGAGAATCAGCATGATGTTCTTACAAACAGTATGAGTTCCATTCAGATATTTTTTTTATTCCCTTACTTCTCTAGTCACCCAACTTCATCCTCCTCAAAGACCATGGATTCCCTTAGCCCTCCCAGATAGCCAGAAGCCAACATGTAAGTTTGCATTGTAACATTGTATTGTAGAATGTAATTTACTTCCTTAGCTCATTCAGATAAACAAAAACCACATCTGTGATCCAAATTTAATGCAGATGTTTTAGAATTATTTACTTATTTACATTGCATACTCTGTCAATACGAAAAAATATATCAAAATGGTAGTAAGCATGAAATTTGTATAAACTGTAGCAAAGAGTTAAATATTGTGTAATTTAATCATTGGAATGAAATAGTTATATTTATCTCTTAAAATTGTTATGTCATTTGACTTTTTTTATATTCTTGTAATGATAAATACATTAATATATCAACCAATTTGTTATACATTTAAATCACCTGTAAGTTTAACATCAGAAAATAGATGCATTAATCTGTTGGTTCTACACTTAAGTCATTGTTATTTACATTAATCCTAAATTTTCAGGTTATTTTGAAGACTGTAACTACATTTAAGTAAATGCAACAAATACGAAAATCTCAAAATTCTTATGATGTTATATAAGTACCATGTAAGAAATCCTGAAAATAATCGTTTATTATATTCAAGCCATTTCCATTAACCCTCAAGTTGCAGACTTATTTTTATGCTGGTTGTTACTGGTGGGGCTCACTTATTACAACATACTGAGTAATTTTTTATTCATATTAACACTGTTGCTAACAGCTCTATAAAAAAAAAAAGGTAAAATCACTTGAACGGTTATTAATGAAATTAATGGTGTTTTTGTTTAAATTTTTTATGTTACTCATACAATATTAGTGACCCTGCAACTAACAAAGGATCTGTAAGAAAGATGGTGCATAAATAATGTAGAAAAATTGATATAAAAAGCTAATTGTAGGGTTAAAATCATCTCAATTCTGAGACTATGAAGACCTCAAAGAGATTGGAACATAAATTATATTGGATAATTTAACTGAAAATTAAAATAAATTGGAGGATTTAATACTTGATATTAATTATTTTTGAATTTGTTTTAACTATTTTAATTTAGTATCTTCAGAAATGTTTACAAAAATGTATTTTAGCTAAAAATTTGAGGTAAAATGGTACTTCTACACATGTATTGCATTATTTGCAGATACTTTAACTGCAATATTATCTTTTATATATTTTAGGTATTTTCACTGTAATGTGTTACAACATCCTGTGTCCTAAATATGCCACCCGTCAGTTGTATGGTTATTGTCCATCTTGGGCCTTGAGCTGGGAATACAGACGGAAGGGTATAATGGAAGAAATACGCCACTATTCTGCAGATATCATCTCTTTGCAGGTAATTCAAAGCAGACTTAAAATTGTTATTATTTTGTCATTGGTTCATGATTAAAACTAATGTTCTCAGATTTAGTATTTACCCTTAGACAAAGTTTTCACTAGGTATTTAAAGCTTAAGTATAAAATTCAAGTATATTTTTCATAAACTTACTGAACTCTATTTTGTTCAATATTTATAACTAGTATACCCAAAATTATCACTGCTTTTTTGTAACATTTTCTCACCATCATAGTAGTTTAACCACAATCCCATCAGTCTACTGTTATAACTACTATTCCTAGAGCTCCCATTAGCCCACTGATTTAAGTAGCCAGCATTTGCAGTAGTCTGACTACATGTAAGTTGATCTTTATCAGTAACTGAGTAGCTATGCTTACCACTATCCTGTTGTTTTAATTAACCAACTTTTGTAATGTTTTGACTATGCTAAACATAATCTAGTTCACACAATAATAAGGCCTTGTCAGCACTGGATGTGGCAGACGTAGTGTGGTTGGTAGTTGGTCCTTATCAGTAACTGAGTAGCTATGCTTACCACTATAATGCTGTTTTAAGCAGCCAACTTTTGTAACATTTTGACTATGCTTAAGTTAATCTAGTCCAGCACTGGATGTGGCAGATGTAGTGTAGTTGGCATATTGTAACATATTCTTCTTTTGATATGGTACATTACCTCTTCTCACATAAATAGCTATTCTCGTTCATTGCTTCCCTCTATATGCAAACATCTTTTGTACATGCCACAAGCCTTGAAGCTCCCACTCATATGGAATTTGGTGATTCCAATGCATCTTGCAATCATCATGAGACAAACCTCCACCAATAAGAGCAACATACTTCCATGATGCATGTGACTCCCTCTATTCAATTCTACCATAATGTGTTGAGAATTGTCATTGTATCGCAATTAAGAATGAGAATATAATGGAAATAGGGTGTACTAGTTTTTTATTCCTCACAAAAGAATAATAATCGATAAATGTGGTATGCAGAAAAATATATTAAAAAAATATAATACATCTGTAGATTTAAACATTATACACAGTATACTTTAGTCTGTTGTAACGTTGACTTTTGTTGTAAAGAGATGGCTGCATCTTTAGCAACATTGACTCATCTTCGAAAGACATTGCTATATTTGTTGCAAAATTATCTTATGTTGAAAAGTCATGGTTATGTCTGTAACTTCATTGTATTACACAGTCTAGATTGGATTGGCACATTGGTTTGTTGTTGTTTTGTCAAATGAGTTATTGAACAGAAGTTATCTAGAAGGGTTTTATCAGTGTTTTAGTGGAGAAAAATAACTATTTCTAATCTAAACTGGAATTGCTTTTGATAGGTAATATATTGTTGTAGACAATTGCTTTAGTCAAAAGTGTGTACTCTTCAGTGAAGAAGCAAGTGGTTTCACTGCATATAGTAAACAGTTATTTTCATGTGCCATTTCTAAGAAAACTAATGGATTCAAGCATTTTAAACTTGTTTTAAGATTAATGTTAGAATTATCTTTCAGATTTTGTCATGTCATGTCTACTACTAAGACTAATATCAATATCAGCTTATATATTTGTTACTGAAATTTATAAGTTCTGAACAAAAAATGATAGGTTTCATGCTTTTATTAGCTTTTGTAATTTACTATCCTCAAAAGTAACTTAGTTTTAGGTAAAGTTATTTTCTGTTTCATATGTTGTTATCAGAATATTTTTTGTATCAGAGTAATCCTAAAATTTGATTTGGAAATTGTCTTTGCAGGAAGTAGAAACTGATCAGTTCTATAACTTTTTCTTACCGGAGTTAAAACATGAAGGCTATGATGGAATTTTTTCACCTAAGTCAAGAGCAAAGATTGTACTGGAAAGTGAGAGAAAACATGTAGATGGTTGTGCCATTTTCTTTCGCTCAGACAAGTAGGTTTATTCTTATGATTACTTGTAATTTGGTTTACTTTTTTAGATTTTAAGAACTTAATCTAAATGAATTAAATATTTATTATCCATATGTCTCATTGTTAGTCCTCATGACTGTAACATAAAGCATACATATTTTTCATTGTTCCTCAAAAAGGGAATTTCACTATTAAAAGAGTATTAATAACTTGTTACTTATACATTAGAGCTACAGTTTTGAACAAACTTTTCAGCATAAAAAAGCTTGAAACAATTTTGTTAATAGTGATTTGTAATGACAGTGATGTTACTTCAAAACATTATTTGTCCATATTTATTTGAACCAATGGAATATAACTTAGAAACATTGTGTTATCCATAATGTATTGATACCAAGGTGACATCATTTGTCCTTAGCATATTTTAAAACCAAGGTGATGTTACTCTGAATCTTTGTTTGTTTGTTCATAACGTATTTAGGACCAAGGTGATATCACTTTGAAACAACTTTTGTCCATAACATTTCAGAAAAAGCTGACATCACTTTGAAACATTTTTGTAAAATATTTGGGATTATGCAAATATCACTTTGATACATTGTTTCTTCACAATACACTTGGGATCAAGTTGACATCACTTTGAAACATATTTTGTAACAAATTTGGGGCCAAGGTGACATTACTTTGAAGCATTTTTATCAATAATGTATTGGAGTCAAAGTTGACATTTTGAAATCTTCTTTGTCCATGACATACTGGGGATCAAGGTGACAACACTAGAAACATCCTTTATGCATATTGTATTTGAGACAAATGTAACATCAATTCGAAACATTGTTCATAACATATTTAGTACCAAGGTGACTTTTGAAACATTATTTGTCTATAACCTCTTTGATTCCAAGATGAAACCACTTTGTAACATCTTTTATCCATAATCTATTTCAGTTTAAATTAACATTAGTTTGGAAACAATGTTTGTTCATAATATATTTTAGATTAAGGTGGCATCACATATAGAGGTTTATGGTGGTCAATAGCATAGTCATTGCAGTGATTAATCTTCTTCACCAACCACTTTAGCAAAAAACAAGTTAGAAATATTAACCCATTATTGTTATACAGAGAAAATATAAAATTACTTCAAAAAACTATTCTCCCAATTTATCAAATTGCAAGTTTAAATTTCTTCAGTGTGATAACTATTATTAAGCTTGAAATACTTATTTTTTGCATATATTTGTTGTTGCCCTTTGTTGAATTATACACAAAGATAATCAAGGGCTATCCGTGCTTGTTGTCTCTAATTTTGAAGTGATAGAGTAGAAGCATGGCAAGTAATTGATACCACTCACAACCAACTCATGGACTGCTCTAATTAAATAGTGGAATTTGAGTGTCGCTCTTCTAATGCACCTATGGCTCCAAAGTACAGAATTCTTTTTGTCCTTATGGTAATGAGGCACAACTGTATATATTTAATTTTTTCCCCAAGACATTACAGTACAGTTTCTACAAATTTATTTACAGGTGGACATTCAATATCTGTTATTTATTTTTCCTGGTAGGGAATTTTGATAACACTCTTATTTATTTTCTTTAATGTTATAATTAATTGGTATCTTAGGGCAGACATGTTAGATGTATTGCATTTTAATAAACTGATCAGATTCTTTCTGTGATTGTTTTTTGATTGTGTTTTTTCCCATAGTTAGACTATCTTTTCAAAATTTGTTGCATATAAATTCATGAAATGTCTATTTGTGATTTATTTTCATTTAAATTGCAGTTGAAAAAAGGATTATTTTCTGGAAAATTGCTGGTTTGCCTATTGCCCTTAAATTTAGATTTATATTAATGAGTGGTTTCAAATATTTCACTTTAGTACACTTTAACTGCATGTAGAAAAACTTTCAAGGCATATCAGTATTCATGTGTGTAGTTCTTTTCATATGTCAGAATTGGCATCCACAGCCATCAAAATGTGTTGTTATAAAGCAGTTTGACATATTTTTACTTTACAAATTGCTTTATGTTGTCACAGTAAGAGTTTAATGAGTGGGACTACTGTTTTTAGCACTTAGATTATATTTAAACTTAGAGTTTGAGTCAACATTAAGAATTTATATGATTGATTGTTTTCTTCCATCTAAACAGTTCATTTAGTGAGACTAGACATAGCTTGAATTGTTATAGTTTTGAGATAAATAGTATTTTTTAATTCTTGTTTTGCATTTTCCAAGTTGTTTTTCTAAATAGAAGAATGAGTGATGTGTTACATTTTAATTCAAATAGCAAAGAAATGCAGCTACATCTTGATGATATATGAAAAAGAGAAGTGGTTAAAATTGCTGTCAACATTTCAGCAAACAATCTTCTTTGCTGATGGTAGACATTTGGCTGAAACCTTCATTATATAAGTTTAACTTTTGTGTGTGTGTGTGTTAAATTCAATTATTTGTATTTGAATAAAATATCAAGCTCTTATTTCTTAGTATGTCATGAGCCATCTGCTTATCATATGATAGTAATCCAGTTAGAAGCAGTATGCATGAGTTTAAAAAATGACTAAATATTTAAGAACTTTCACAGAAAACTTTAAACATTTTAGGTACCTTTTAACAAGTAGTTTTTGAGTTGGAAGGGTCCTTTAAAGAAAATGCATTTGTATGGCACTGGCCAAATGTTTCAGTGCTTAAATCACCAACCCTTCCAATAAATTCAGTGCCTTAAACTATACTTTCCTGAAATTTTGACCAGTTGTTTGAACCTAATCAATACTTGTTTTATTTCAGATTTTCTCTCATTAAAGATCATCTTGTAGAGTTCAACCAGTTGGCTATGGCTAATGCAGAGGGGTCTGATGACATGTTGAATAGAGTTCAGACTAAGGATAACATAGGTCTTACAGCACTTTTGCAAACCAGGGAAGGAGCATTCGAAAATGGTTAGCATCAACATCAAATGAATTTAAATTGATTAAAAAGTAGATGTAAGAGATTATGTGAAAATTAATTTAAGAAAAAAGAAAAGCATCAACTTTCCATCAAACAATGGGCCTTGATATTTTGCTTTTGGTGAATTACTTATTTAATTACAAAGCTTTAAATTATTTTTCTATAGAATTTTTATCATATCTTTAAATATGATAATTTTTAAATCTCTTTGTAAAATACTTTTAAAATGTACATTTTGTTTGTTCAAAACTAACTTTGAATCAGTAATGTAATTAAGTACTCATCAACATATACTGTTTTATACAGTCAAGAGATGATAATGTTTTTGTTTTCATTGTAATATTCTCATAATATCTTTCCAACCAGGTACCTTACTTCCACTCACATACATAGCTATTCTCATTCAGTGCTGCCCTCTAGATGCAATATTTTTTTGCATGGCACAAACATTTTAGTTTTCAGATTGAAAAGATCTGATTTGGTCTGCTTTTCAATATAGGGTTTCATGGTCACCCATTGCACTGTCTCAGGTGTGAACATTCCTCCGGACTCTCCACTGAGTTTTTTTCATCCCTGTTTCTTCCAGTTGAGTAAGAGAGTCCTTACCAATTTCCAGTTCCAAGCCACTGGGGTGGTGGACCATGGAGGTCTTCTCCTGAATGTGAAAAATATATAATATAAAAATAATGCATCCATTCAGTTGAGAGTAGGGTGATGGTGTAGACATGATTGGGATCCCTCATCCTACTCCCACGTGGAAGTCGGTTCCCAACAGTTGAGTTTTGGATTTAGAACTGAACCAATCAACATATCAACCACACTCATATAGTGCAATTGGGACCCCTCATCCTACTCCTGCATGGATGTCAGTTCTTGGAGGTTGAATTTTGGATTTAAAACTGAACCAATCACCATATATTATCATTATGCCATGCGATTGGGATTCTTCATACTACCCCTGCATGGATGTCCATTCCCGGCAGTTGGGTTTTGGACATAGAGCTGAACCAGTCGACATGATGTACTCGCACGTAGTGTACTGGCATCAAGGCTGTTCACTCCTTAGATTGGGAACCCTCATCCTACCCCCACATGGATGTCGGTTCGCAGTGGTTGAGTTTTGTATTTAGAGCTAAACCAATCAACATAGGTCCTTACACATGATTTGAGAGGAATATATTTGTATTTCATTCTGATCACATGTGCCCTGCTCACCGATTGGTGGTGATAATTCTCCCTACTCCATATGGCTGAACTTGAAGTGAAGATAGTATGATCCTCTTTCCTGCCCCCACTTGGATATCAGTCCCTAGCGGTTGAGTTTTGGATTGAAGTTGACTTAACAATGATATGATCCTTGTCCTATCCCCGCGTGGATGTCAGTTCTGGGCAGTAGAGTTTTGGATGCAGTTGACTTGCCATGTATGGTCCATCATGCCCCTGCCACTCTACACCTTAGAACACATCCCTTCTTTTACCCACAATGTGATGTGCTCCTCATTTTTGTCCACCCAACTCAGTCTCCCCTTTTCCATGTCTGGACAAAGAGTATACCTGATAAAGAAGTTGTGCGGTCTTCCACATATCATCTTCTTCTTTGAAGGTTCCCTTTTGGGGGGTGTCCTTCAGATGATTTTGGCGAGTGCTTCTGTTTTCTTCACTATTCAATGTGGAAATTCTAGCTATGTATGTGAGCAGAAGTAAGGTACCTTGTGGGAAGTTATACTTTTTCCTACACTGAAAATATATTTCCGATAAGTACTTACTCCACTAACACTTTCCACCCTTCCTTCCCCATTGTCTACCGGTGCTTAGCTTTCTGCCTAAACTCAAAGTGATAGTTAGATAGAATAGCATAGAGGGAGTCACGTGTGTGTGAAGCACGTCTATTGGTGGAGGTTTGTCGCATGATAATTTGCATGCATGAATCAGTTAAACCATGTGAACTGAGAGGGTATGTAGAAATAAAAGGCTTGTGGTGTGCAAAAAAAAAACTGAACAAGAGTAGCTATGTATGTGAGTGGAAGTGAGTACCTGTCGGAAATATATTTTCAATGTTGGAAAATTATAACTTTTAATATTACTCTTTTTTTTGTCCAAGGACAAAGTAGTCTACTTTTTATGATCACATATAGAACTTTTGAGTTATTATCAAGTAACATCTGCCTTTCGTCTTCAGGTAAACGTATATATGGTGTTGTCGGTCTTTATAGTATTCTAGTGGATTGTGGAGGATGTGTTATTATTGTTTGATTTATCCCTGTTTCTGATTTGGAGAGACTTCCTGTAGATTCAACCAATGGTAGCCAGTTAACTCACCTCTAATCCAGAATCTCTGTTTAGTGAAGGTTTTACTGCGTTAATGTAAAAGTATTCTTTGATTTTTCTTCTCTTCTAAAATTTGTCTGTGTCGATGATTCTAGTTTTTTCCAAGTTTATTTTGTGTCCAATTGACATGGTGTGTTCTGCAGTGGCTGAATTTTGTGTTTTCATGAGTCTTATACTGTCTTTATGTCCTTTTATTCTTGTCATGAGCCTTCTTCCTGTTTCTCCAATGTATGTTTTGTTGCAGGAACATGGAGTTTCATAAATGACATTTTTGTGTTTCACATTGGTTAGTTTCTATTTGTTTTTCACCAGAATGGAACTTACTGTCTTGTAGGATTTCCACTGGACATATTTGTTGAATTTCTTGGCTATGCATATGAGTTTTTCACTGAAATTTTGCAGGTAGGGGAGGTAAATGGTATTAGTGGTAGTGTTTTCCTTATCTTTCTGTTATGGTCTTCTTCTTTTGATGAAGAAGGAGGCATAACTGTTCTGTTTAAAGCATCTTTTGGCATTTTGTTTCAATGGATGTCTTATTGCAAATGTTTTCTGCTCTCTTGTTTAGGCATTGGATTATACCACGTGTTATCAAAGTTGAATCATAGGACTGGAAGTGTAGGTATCCATTCGTGTGTGTAGGTTTTCTGTATGCAGTTGTGGTGATTTTTCTCTCTTGTTTGCTGATGAGTATGACAAGAAATGGTAGGCTGTTTTGTTCCTTTATTTCCATGGTAAAGTGGATTCTTTTGTCTATATAATTAAGATGTTCTAGGAAGGTTGTTAAGTTTTTATTACCGTGCGGCCAGGTAACTAAGTTGTTTTCGACATAACATCTGTAGAAACTTGGTTGTATATGTGTGGAAATGTCTACTAGGATTGGAGAGAGTGGTGATACCATAACTAGACCATCTGTTTGTTCATAGAATTCCTCATTTTATTGGGAGTAAGTTGAGTGTAGCCAAATAGTCAGTAACAGGGATAAACCAACCAATCATAACATGCCCTCCACAATCCAACAGAGTACTGATCTCAAAACAAAAGGTAAAAGACTTTTGAAACATTGTCCTCTACACTTGTGTTTCTATGACAGGCAGTTGCTGTCCATTCAACTAACTTTCATTATGAATACTCTGCCTAAAGAATCTATCAAAGAATAAGATCAGTTTTATTATCATTTTCTTTCTAAAATCTAATATTTTACAATACTGTAATAAACACTGTTATAGACAACAACTATTTGTGACTCTTTTGTTGTGTATCTTCAGGTACAGCTGATACCTCTCAGATTCATCAGCCCCTTCTGGTATGTACAGCCCACTTACACTGGGATCCAGAGTTCTGTGATGTCAAGACCATTCAAACTATGATGTTAATGAATGAATTACAGAGTATTGTAGAAGAAGCTTCACAGAGTTTCTATTCAGGCTCTCAGAGGTGTGATGCTAACAACATACCTCTGCTTCTCTGTGGTGATTTTAACTCTCTTCCTGGATCAGGTGAGTACAGTGTATAAGCATGTTTTTTTATACTTTTTAACAGAAAAAAAAAAAAGAAAAAAAGCTTAGTAAAGGTATACAGCCTCATATATTTTTCTATTTTGAAAGAGTAAATAGATTTTTATATAAATGAAAAATTGCAGCTCAATATCTTTTGAACAACTGTTAGACCGATGTTTAGACCATCATACTATGGCTGTCACTGTTTTCAGAAGTTACTGATGTGGGCTGGCTGGTTACTTTAAAAATGCATTTCCTCTTCATCATAATAATAAAGGTGAAAAAGATGGGTACACAAACAACTATGTACTAAGCTGTCTCCTATGTGTAAAAACATTTAGAACTTCTTTAGATAACATTTTCTGTCACTGAGGTAATTGGACTGATGAGAGCTGATAAAGCTTAGTATAGGATTCATTCTGTACGAGCAAGTTTGTTCCATTTTACAACCAAGTGGAATAATCAAAATTGTGTCAAGCTGTGTATAGGTGTTTTTGTTTTCTATGGTTTATTCTGGTTAATAGCATATTGCTGAAATTTGGTAGATAAATAGGATTTAATGAAGATTTTCTGTGGTATTGTTGCCCTTACATTTTGTGAGAAATTTAATAGATTTGCATAAATAATTTTCAGAAATGTAATTTAAATTAGAGATGTAAAACAGTGTTCTGTGATTTGTTATAAATCCATGTATATTAATATTAAAAATGGGGAAATAATTTATTCTTTTCATATGTTTACTTTGAGAGTCATTCATTTTCAGGAATGAATATATTTGAGGCTATTGACAATGAAATTGTACCGTAATTTGCAAGATGAGTTTTTTCGTACAAAAAAAACAGATGACACATGTTCCTAGTGAAAACAAGTATTCTTCCTTGGTGTAATTTTTTATGTTAGGGTTGCATAATGTTAAGCATGGTAGACTGTAAATTAAAATATCTAAGGTATGTGCCATGATGCCTCTGTACATATTCCACACTTTTAGTTCTGGGTGTATTATAAGAGTGACAGTCAGTTCTGTTAGTTGGTCCAAAGCCTTTGTAGCAGAGAAAGCTTTTGACTGACTGCTTTCCTTCTGGTTAGCATTTCAAAGTTAAGAATGGTTGTACTTAAACTTCTGTGTGCATAAGGTGCCATTCAGATTGAAAATACTAGTATCAGTGCCATTCATACTTGATATCTTCAGCATGTACAAAGATAATCAGTATAAATTTAATCATACCAGACTATTTTCATGAATGTAAATGGGCTTTTTTTATTGATATTCAAAAATCTCAATATTTCTCTAATGATGAGTTTATTGTATGTGTTTCATGTTATGCATTGGTAATTTTTTGTTTGTTAATATATTGTTTTTCGTAACTCCTCATTTAACTTGCTTGTTAAGGAAGTGTTTTAATAGTAAATTTTCAGTTAGCTTTTCCATTTTAATTACTACTGAAAGAATTGAACACAGATAGTGAAAAATGGTAGTCATGATTGTTAATTTGAACTTTTGTTCAGTTCACTCTCGGTGTAATTTTATGGGTAATGAGAAACTAAGTTAATTTGCTAAAATAATATTATTTTGTCATTACTTGTCTCTACCACATGCCATACTTTTTATCATAAAAAGTACAAAGAATTAGAGTGATAAATTCCTGGTAGTAGCCTAAACTTATGATTTGTATTACTTCTGATTTGAAACAGCTCATTAATAGTTTGTATACTCATGATTATGACTTAGTTCAAACTTGTTTTTAAAATCTTATTACTTTCATATTAAATGTCTTCCTTCTCCCCATCAAATCATTATTTTCTGGAAAATATTTTTGCATTTTTTATAATTGTAACTTGTGGGTCATGATTCCATCCATCCAGTGTATAACATTTTGTTATTGGGTTATAGAATATTGTATTTTTGTGTTAGATTGAGTTCTTGAACCTACATGTTTATCTAACATCATGATTTTTATTGGTAAGGATATTGTTTCTAAATTATTATTCTAATTATGGTGTATAAAAAAACTGTAAAAGAAGCATCTTACGATATGTAACATTACACAATGTATGTGATCTGTTCTTAAGGAGTTGTGGAGTTTCTGTCTTCAGGAAGAATCTCTGTAGACCACATTGACTTCAAGAAGCTAGGTTACAAAGATTGTCTTCGGAAGTTAAGTAGCACAGATAAAACAAATGAATACACTCATGATTTCAAGTTATCCAGAGCATACAAAGATGACATCATGGCTTACACAAATTATACGTAAGTCACTTGAAGTTTCAAAAACCTTCTTGTTTGAAAAAATAAAATTAATTCAAAACCTTTTAACTTAAGAAATATATTTGGGATTCAATCTTTTTGTTATATCTCTTTATTTCTTATGGAATATCTGAGTACATTATATTAAAAATATTTTAGAGCTTCACCATATCATTACAATTTGTGTTGCAGAGGTTTATTTTTAAGGAGTGCAAGCAGGAATGTGCTCCTTTGTACTCTTTGTCCAAGGAGCATAAATAACAGTGCTCCTTAAAATTCCAAGAATGGACTTAAAAAAATTTAAAATACTGTAATCAGCTCAGCAGATATGAGGATTTCATTCACTTTGATCATGTAGCAAACTTACTTTCAATCTGACATGATTCAATGGTGCACATGCGAATCCTATTTTTACACTTTATTTTTAGTTATTTTTTTAAATAATAAGTAAAGAATACACATAAAAAACAAGAAATAAAGTACTTACCTGGGTATTCTTTTTTTTTTTGCTGTTGATGACACTTAACCCTATTTTTTTATACTAATGGTAGTACTGCACTAAATAATTTTTTATTTGATTAAATAATGCAACAAAGAACACAGAATAATAACATGCAAAAGGCAGATAATGTTCCATAACTATCACAATTTTTCTGACTATGTGACAAGAACCATTACAAATTCATCTAAGCTAGTCAATGTGTTTCCCGAGGGAATTGAGCTTGTACTGAAAGTGATACTGAAAATTCTCTGTAAAACAGTTAATATAATATGTCATTTGATAGATGTAAACCTTGGTTTTCTATTGGTTATAAATAATATAGTATTGAATGTCAGAGAGAACTACAGGCAATTTCTGAAAGAGAGGATATAAAAAGTGGGCATGGGAAGGGGAGCCTGATTTTCTATTTTATTGCTTTGTAACCACGTAAGATTGAAGACTATGAACATTATGCTTTGCCTGAGTGATGACAACGTTATAATGATTAATTTACATTGCATTTCATATTTCTTGGAGGTAAATAAATTAGAGAAGAGAGGATACTTAGAGAGAAAATGTCACAATTCTCATGCTTGGAGAAATTCAGGATTTATTTAAATATTGCCTTATAAAATTAAGAACTTAAAATATGGATTATTAGCTACATTTTTATGCTATACTTGTAAGCTTTTATTGTGAGTACAGTCAAAACTTCAAAGCTTGGATAGTGAGTTATGGGAGAACGGAATGTTATTTTGGATGTCAGCCGTAAAATTACAACAAATTCAGCTTAAGGTTTATGTATGCATATTATTATGACAAAATAGGAAATGACTCCAAATCTGTTAACCCTTTCAGCACGGGTGGATATGATTACCATCTGCTCGACTAGGAAAAGACATTTATGCAACAAAAATATGGTAACTTTGTGCATTCCTCACAAAACCTAGTAAGATTTTGTTAAAGTTTATAAGTATCTTGTACACACATAATGACATTATTTTAATTACATCTTCCTGATAAAAATGTTATTTATCTATAGTAGTTATTTGCACTCAAACTTTTAATTTTTTTATAAATTATCTTTAAAGATGTTTTTTTGGTTATATTCGTAATTTGGGGTCTTGTCCTTTACCATTTATTATTCATCTCGACACAAGTTAAGGGTGCCCTTGAGGTAAATTATAGCATCTAAGTTAGAGATGTGCAACCCTTCTGCAAAATATTCGTGCACTGTGTAATATCATTAAGTCCTGAAAACTGACACAATGTATGATGTATATCTAAAACAAATTTTGAACCTTTCATTTATGCATTTTAAAACATAAATAATACATGATTAACTGAAATATAAAAGTAAGACTTAAATACAATTTAACTGCATCTCTAACTATAACATATTTAGGTAAGAAACAACTGTATGTGCTTTAGTCGATCAAGCAGCCAACAATACTATAGTCAGTTACATATACTCCATGATGACAACTCTGTGCCAATTTCAAAATAACCTTCGTTAGATTATAGTGTAATATGAGCTGTTTCTAATGGCTATATACATGCATATGTAACCTTTACATGTAGGCTGCAAAGCTCAAACAACTCTGTTAAATGTGGGTGTGGCACCTGTCAGAGATTGACAAAATTTATGACTTGTTTCATTTGCATTCATTCATAGATCTTTGAAATGTACAACTCAAAAGGTTATATAAGCATCTTATAGTCTAGACATACATCTGCACAACTGCCATTGTATTATTTAAGATACAGAGTGCCAAAGTAGAGAACGCTCGTTGGTCATGTGACAACACACCTGAAGTTTTAAATAGTTTTTTAAAGGTTTCTTTTGAAATAAAGGACTTAAAACTTAGATAACATAAAACTTTGATGTTCGTAACACACATTATAATGTTAATTTCATTCACATACATCGATAGTGTAGGTGTTAAATTAAATTTTGAATTTAACACCATGATTTCCATAGAAAAGTGTATAAAAGGTTATCCATTGTCAAAGGATTAAAGGTCTTGTAAATTATTTTTTCAGTTAGCTTTGCAGCACAAAATAAACAATTCCTGAATAGTCACAATATATACCCGTGTTAGAATTTCAGTTTTTTTTACTCCTTGTGTTTTTTTGCTCTGAAGAGAGCAACTCGGTAATTTAGGAAGAGCAGTTTATAGTTATACTTGTATTTATTAAAATGAAGGACTGGTGTTGCTATGTCAAGTCATGCTCTTTCTGATGACCATGCATCTTGACAATATCCTTGTAACATATCTTCCATTGCAAAAGGATTCATTGTGAGGCTGTCATGTCTAAAGCACACCAGTCTTCCTTGCAGGCTTTCCATAAATCATCTTTGTGTACAGGGTTGACAATTTCCCAGTCTAATCCCACAGAAGTCTATATATGCTGTTTGTGATGACTTGACCAATATATCTTTGTATAGAAAAGCATAAATACCCAATTCTTTCTCCAGATGCTTGAAGTAGATGACAGTTGAAATGGTTAATATAACTAGCGCCTTGTTTCAGTTGGAGATCCTTCTTGATTTTTTGTTGTTGTTGCTGGGATACATGGGTGGTTTTTGCCTCTGACCTTTTGTGTTCATGGATTTTCACTTGTTAAAAGATGTCACACTTTGCTTACCATGGTTGAGATATGACTTGCTTCATGTCCTTCTGGTTGGTCCTGATGTCCCAGGGTGATCCATAGTCATTTATTTTCTAATGCCATTAAGTGCAAGGGATATCACCCTTCTTGTGAATTCTAAATCTCTTACTCAAACACATCTTTATGATCTGAGTATATGAATATATTGCATCAGAAAGAGCTTGGCATGGCCAGATGGTTAGGGAGCTTGACTTGCAATCTGCGAATCAGGGGTTTGAGTTCCCGTCCCACCAAACATGCTCATCTTTTCAGCCATGGGGGGCATTATAATGTGACAGTCAATCCCACTATTTGTTGGTAAAAAGTAGCCCATGAGTTGGTGGTAGGTGTTGATGACTAGATGCCTTCCCTCAAGTCTTTCACTGCTAAATTAGGGACGACTAATGCAGATAGCCCTCCTGTAGCTTTGCGCGAAATTTGAAACAAACAAACAGAAAGAGCTGTTACATATCATTCCCAAATGTGATCTATTTTCAGTGACATCACACTACCTACAAAATAATTACATTTTTACATTTTTTGACATAGATCTGATCCATGATGTTTCTCTACAATTTTGTATATTGGCTGTGATTGGCATGTGACTTGCTGATTCGCATATTCAAAATCATTTTAATATAATGTACTCCAGTCACTTTTGTACTAACCCTTTCAAAGTTGCAAAAAATAGTTAATTTAGTAACCATTAAAATGTTTCAAAATTTTCACAGATGGTTCACAAACCATGTGAATGATAAGCTTTCTGTATTTTATTGTATATATGTATGTGTATGTGTGTGTGTATGTAGGTGTATATATATATATATTCAAATATTTTATATTTGCATCACAGTTGTTGAACATTTCACAATTCAATGCACTAACTTACTGAAGTTTCACTTCTCCCATTAATTCCAATAGATTATTGATTTCAAAATAATCACAGTTTAAATGCACATATTAGTTGTGTAACTTACTTATACTGAATTAAGCAAAACTTTATCTGTTAATTTAGATTAACTATAAAACACATATCCAATGCTCTCTTTGTTAGTTTGTTTTTCAGTAAAAATCCTAGCTACTCAGTCAAACCACTAAAAGAATTATGCCAACAGGCCTCATATACAAAGAATATCCAACATATTTATATTGCAAAGTTATATTTAAGTTGCCTTAAAATCTAACAAGAAACAATGAATAGACTAAAAGTATGACATGCTACCATGTATGTAGCAACATGTTTCTTCTCTTTTGTTGAAACTATATTGCAAAATGTAATGCAGTTGCACAAATCAGTAGCTGATTTTAACTTTTAATTAATTTAAGTGCATTTCTTATATAGTGAAATGTGAAATTCACAATAGAAGGGTACAAATCGTCTTCCAACAGTTCAAAACAGTTCCCCTTCAAAACCCCCCCCCCCCCCCCAAATTGCTCAGTAGTAAGTCTGGAAGCTTATAATGCTAAAACTGGTTTTCAGTACCCATGGTGGGCACTGCACAGATAGCCCACATATAGTTTTGTGCTTAAACAAACAACCAAATGAACCCTTCATATGTGAACAACAAATAAGTTGATAAGTTATAAAAAAGTAAGACTAATGTGTTTTTTTATTATTAGTATAGAGTTAATAATGAGCATTAGTCAGTTTTGTAAACAAACCACACATTTATGTTGTTATTCCACTGTATCCAGAAATTTCTTAGCAATTCTGTGCTCATTAATATTTATTCTAAATCTAAATTCTGTCTCTGACTTTTTAATAGATATTTACAGTTGTTTAAAATCAGGAAAAATTTTAATGACTAATGAAAATTTTTAAAACGTATTGAGTACAAATATCTAATGTTATGGTTGGCAGAACTGATGAAATGAACCAATGTTAGATAAAAGTATCATATTAGAATTGATCTGTTAAAAGGAAAGGTGACAGTGTGGTATTTAAACATGGAAGGTTGAATATGTTTTTTCTGTACTTTGACACAAAATCGTTTGTTGTGTGTGTTAATTTCAGATATGACTTCAAGGGTATCATTGATTACATCTTCTACTCTAAGAAACATATTACTGTTCTGGGATTGTTAGGATCATTAGACCAAGAGTGGATAAAAGAGAACAAGATTGCTGGCTGTCCTCATCCTCACATCCCATCCGATCACTTTCCACTGCTCGTTGAAGTAGAGATGACCCTCCCAACTTCTTCACCAATGCTCCTTAATGGACTAATGCTCAACAGGTAGCAGCTTTAATTCCAGCTGTGGCCACAAGTTGCCAATATCAGCTGGTCATCCCAAATAGGGCACAATTCTACTCACCAGGGGGAACAAAGACTTTAAATGAAATTTCCTGAGGCAGCTCTGTACTCCATCATTAAGTCACTCTTCCAGCAGTGAGAAAAAAAAGGAATGTAAAAATTTATTTTTTTTTAGAAGCTTCACCTTGAAGGGTCCATACCATTTTTAAATAGATAACCATTATACATTTCATAAAAATGCAGTTTTCCATTTACATTTACATAACAACCATGTATTTTTGACTTAACAAAAGAAACTTACACCTTTCGACAGTAGTCTCACTGGATAATATCTCTTCCCACCTACCCCCCATTTTTTAATTTTGATTGTAATGTACTTATATACTCAATTGTATCTTACCATAAGAACCTGTGTAGTGGGACATATTGTGCAAACCAGAGCAACTTAAATGTTTTATAATTGTACCAATTTAGATATGACACCTTTTGTGTGAAATGTTTTTTCTTGTTTTCATTGTTATATATGGTATGAATCCCACCATCAAATATAAATCATTTGGAATAATCGAAAACATTAATTGTTCTTGTTAATTCTTTTTTCCCATACAAATGTATTAAATTGTTTGGAGAAACTTGTGATTATGTATGTGATAGTGTTCTTTGTGTGTTTGATGTTGTTTTTTAGAGTTTTAAACATCATTTGAATATTTTCTAAATTTTGTCACTTCTCGTAAATGGTGTTTGATTCACTGCAGTATGATATGTGGGTTTGTTTGTCAGTAGTGTTTTCTAGGGTTTTTTTTTCAAACAATAAATAGAAATATTTGCATAAAATTGATGTTTGTGAAACTGATCAAAAAGGAAGAAGAAAATTTATCTAAATATACTTGGTTACATTGTCAATCAAACTTACATTTCATAATTACAATACATTAATTGTTGATTACTATCTAATCATTCTTACCTTACTTTTAGTAGTTACTATTTAACAAAATGTTTTAAAAGGTTCTAATTGGTAAACATATTGACAAAATTCTTTGTAAATAGTTAAAGAAATTTGAAGGAAAAATAGCTTACTCAAACCTGTAAAAAGTATTATTTAGTACAGTAATGTTGAGGTCTGCTTTTGCTTTAGTAAAAGTGCTTGTACCAGTAAATGTTGAGTATACCAAACATGCTTATGTTTTACTTCACGTGGTAGCCCATAGCCAAGAGTTGTGTAATTTTCAGTTTACTGTATGTTCTAATGTAAAAAGCTCACTTGGTAGTTTAATAATTTAAAAACTATTTGTTCTTAATTTTTTTTTGTATATATATTATCCGAATAGATTAATTGTAAAATGAAATAATACCACGTGAACTGTTAGTTATAAAATGTAATTTTTCATTTTTAAGGTCATTATTACAAGAGTTAAGATGTCTTTGTTTTATAGATATTATAATTATATAATTATTTTAAATTGAAATTTCTATGATTTATCTGAATTAGAATGCAAGATATCAGTGAATTTTTAGTTAAAGAATAAATGTTATCTGATATAGATTTTGAATTATCAGGTAAAAATGTGTGTGTGTTACATACACTCTTATACATTTCTGTAAAATTTTATTGAAAAATGCATGGCTGCAAAACATCTTCTGATTTAAATTTCTTTAAAAATCTTGCTTATCAACTAGCAAGAAAATAAGCTGGACTATATTTTTACTTTCTGATATTTCAAACTTCTTTAATTATTAGGATACAGTAATTACTGCAATAAAAGTAAACCACTCTGCAACTCAATAATATTCATATTTTGAACAAGGCATTCAAGCTTTAGAAAATAGCATAAAGCCCTTCTATTTGTTTTAGTCTTATAGCTCAATATTAATTAAAATGTTAGATTACATTTGGTATTCACATTAAAAACAGAGCCATATATTACAAAACTCTTAATTTATCACAAAGAATTATGCCTGAAATTACCTTAAAGTTAATCTTCTGAATTAAAATAGATATTTCAAAGTACTTAGAACACTCAAGAAGGCAATATTAAAGTGAAATACATTTAAAATCCATAATATTGCTATTATTATTATTATTCTGCAGCAGTGTTACAACATTGTTTGTGTTATAAATGTAAGTCTTGATGAACCCTGTAACAACATTAGCAAGTTAATTTGTGGCACTAACTATTACTAATTGGCATATATTTTTATGTTATATTTATTATTAAGAATTCAAAGCCACTTACTGGAACAAAACTTTTTACTTCATTGTATCAAAACTATTACTTGTTCCATAATTGTATTTCTTTTCTCTCTCTTTCTCTCTCTTCTTTTTTTTAAAGCAATGTTTAGAATTTCCTACTTCAGTTCAGTCCTTATCTTGGATGTGAGACAAAACCTCAAGTTTTAATTTTTTGTATGTTATTAACAATTGTGTAAATTATGTTTGCAGTTTTGGAGAAATTCACTAGATTATTTAATGTGATATGAAAAAACTATTTGATAAATAATAATAAATAAAATTATATCATCTACTTGACATATAATAATTTTTGAACTTTAAAGATTTTGAGAAGACATCTTTAATTTGTAGAGCTGGAGTTTGGTTATTTTAGTATTGAATTGATATTAATTATAAAAATGTTCTATAAAATTAAATCCATTAAAAAAATCAACAGTCTGTTCTGGAGAATTTTGAAATATTACAAGTGAAATTCTTATTCACAGCTAACTTTTGAAATTTATATTTGAATATTTGTCCAAGTTTCAAACAGATAAATGTACATACATAACAAAAGATCATTTGCATTTCAGGAAATATGACTAAACTGGTTTTTGTCAAATCACATGGAATGTTATTACAATTATTTTTGTTTATAAATTTCAGAGGACTGTCACATCATAACTATTGCATTAATACTCCATTTGAAGCCATTTTCCATCAAGTAATTTTTTCACCATTTTGGCTATTTCACCTACATTGAATGCAAAGGACACCGTCCAAAATGTTTGTCTCCAATTTCAAAATATTAACAAAAATTTCCACTGCCTTCATGATTTTTTATTCACAAATTTTTTATATAAAGCTAGTATTTCAGAAGTGTTGTGTTTTCTATATCAAGAAATTAAGCAAAAAATATCCAACCCAAAAATTATTAATACAACTATGTAGTGAGTATATTTAAATTAGTTTTTTATGTTCATGCCAAATTATCAATACACACTTATTTATAAGTTTCAAAGAAACTGGTAATATCACTGTATCATATCACAGAAAGAAACTGGTGAGATCAGTCATAAAAGAAATAGGTAATATTGAGATCTTTGCATGGTAGAATGTCATAAATTGAAACTACTGACATCTATGCATGGTGGATAGTCATAAAACATAACTGCTGAATTCATTGTATGGTAGATAGTCACAAAAATAAACTGGTGATATCAGTGTATGGTATGTAGTCAAAAATGAAACTTGTGAAATAATTGTATGGTAGATAGTTTCTATAATAAACTGGTGAGTTTAGTTTTCATTACTAAAAAAAGGCTTTGTGAAATACATACTGTTTTTCAATAATGGAGTAAAATTCTATTTAAAGGTTTGTTTTGGATTAAACTTAAAGTAACTGACAAATACGATTGTATGTTAACTGTATCATGACATTTGTATGATTTCATCGTTTTATTATATCTCTGTATTTATGTTTTGTTAATTTTTGTTGTTGTTGTTGTTATTGTTGTTGAAGCTATCTGATATTACTTTATCTCTCTTGGGAGAAATTTAACTTGCTAAACCTCTGACAAGAGCCCTGTTAAACTTGCACGTATTTCACGAAGTCTTTGTTATGTTTTTTTCTGACAAAATATTTTCAAATAAAACCCATGTTTTGAATTCATCTGACATGAGTTGTGCTGTCAAACTCCTGTAATGCTTTCTTCTTATTTAGGTTTATTGTATTCAACCTGTATATAAACCCCTTTTATTTTGAGTGTAGTCTGTGAAATCATAGCATCACTGTTTCTGACTTGAAATTGTTAAATGAAGATTATAATTTAAGTTTTTTTCCACAGCTTTTTGTCATACCTATGCACTTTCCTATGACCATTGTTACTGTAAACAGTTTAAAACTCAGAACACTTGTAAAGTGACATGTATCTTTTGAGTGGTTAAAACATAATAGAAGTGTTTGCATCTTCACTTTAAAAATCAATCACAGTATTCTTTTTGTATGCTATTTAACCTATTTTTTCTTCCATATAGAATTTTGTATGACATGTTTTGAAAAGTTAGAATTCATACTCTACATGAATCACTGAAACCTGAATCAAGGTCTTGTTTTCTCCAAACTGTAGGTAATCAAACTATTTCAAATAATTGTGTTGTCCATCAGTAATTTTCATTTTTGGTTTGTTTGTTTTGTATTATTTTTGCAACTAAATGGGTACTGTGATATATTAATAGCTTATTTTAGTATTATAAAAAATGGCTTTTTTGGTATAGGAAACATCAGCAAGTTTAGTTGTAATGCTGTGTTTTAAGTTGGTTTACTTAAATGCTTTCAGGTGGCTATAGAAATATTCTGATTTGTGGAATACTTAATAATTCAACCTAATATGTGTATATATGTGTGTAAATATATACATACATATAAGCACAACTTCTGATTTTTACCTTAGAATGAGAATACTGTCTCTTGGACTGAATTAAATATATATTTAAAATGCAGTCAAGAAAAGGGATTTCAACATGCTAAAAATTAAAAGCTTGCAGGTATAAACTATACCTGAAATTTTTTCTGTAATAATATAAAAATTGTAAATATGATTTTGTTTTGGTGGCTTTCCTGGATGGTAATACATTAAGCAACCTGGTGATCAGAGTTATTTTAAATTTTCTATAAATGCTAGAAATATTTATCTTAGTTGCAGTAGCAAGCTGTGATCCAATCTTAATATAACAGTAGTCTTGTTAGGCATGAAGAAAATTAGCTATATAGAACAAGGTATTTTTTCAGCAAGCTTGTAAGTGGTATTGGTGATATAAGAGGTTAGTAATTTTGTTATTTTTTATGTGATTATGAAAAAAAGTTATAATAAAATTTCAAAGTTATGCACAAGCAAGACTTGGAACAGTTAAGATGATCAAATCATTATTATTTATTTTTGTGTTACTGGTATGATTTAAACTGCATAAGTTGTTCTTTGTTTGAGAATGGTTTAATACCTCATCAGTTATTTCAAGTAGGAGATACTCAGATGAAAAAAACTGCTCAAAATTTTATCAGAACATAGCAAGTTACTGACACTTTTTATTTAAAACTGTGATTGTTGTTTTATTGTTCACTGGTCAGATAAGTCTTTGTGGATGTATGCATGCCTGCCATAGTTTTTCTTTATCTAAGTATGAAATATTTTGAAATTATGTGTGAGGTTTATTGTATATCTATATAATTAGTTTATAATTCCATTCCAAAACTGACATCATAAAATATTTTTATTTAGATGTTATCTCAGCAGTAAGAAAGAAAGTATATTTTCATCAAAGTTGTATGAAATTTGAAAGATTTACAAATCTTTCAATAACACTTAAAAGTCATGTGACAAATATTAATCTATAGGCATGCTTTTTTTCTTCTCTAAACATTCACCATTTTTTTTAAGTGCATTACAAAATTATTGCTATTTTATTGTTCAGTAAATTAGTTTCATAAAATAATTTTAAGTAAAAGGTTTGTTTAACTGTTACTGTCACATTTATAGATAGAAAATAAAACTTAATTAAAATTGAACATTTTAAGGGTAATACTCTTTCTTCTTGGTGTTAAAAATTCCAAACTCGCATGGCATTGTGGTAGAGGGAAACATATATATGTTCCCATTACAATGAAAGTGTTAACAGTAACTTTGTGAGTATAATGATTTTTGGTAGACTAGTCTGCATCTCGCAAATTGGCTTAGTGCACAAAATTCTATCAGGTGCTGGTTGAGACACATTCTTAAAGGATCTTTTGTGAACTTTAATGAAATTTGTTAGAAATAAGTAATATTTTTTTTAGATTAGAAAAAAGTCTGCAATGACATTTTAGAGATCCAGAAGAATTGTGTCAGTTTTTGTTTTTGTAGGTATTTTTGTTAATATATCCATTAAGCAGTTTTTATAAATAAAACTACTTTAAGAAGGAAAAAAACAAATGCCTGATCAAATGTTTCAGGTAACGTGTAAATTACACATTGTAGCAACTGTAAAAGAACAGTAAACAGTAGCCAACACTTTCAGAAACCACACTAACTTTTACCAGCATTTGTACGTATTG